GTTTGGCCGGGTTCCTGCTGATGTCCTGAATAAAGAAAAAAAAAAAACCCTGACTTGCACCCAGCAAAGCAAAAACCATCTTGCCGGTAAACTTGCAAAAGCGGCACAAAATGCAGCTTTCACCTAAGATAATGATTTCACCAACATAAACCTTGTCGTTTATACTGCATTCATTTTTAATATGTAGCCTCCAAAGACAGAAGCGCATGTACAGCAATTGTGTCAGCTGAGTTACATGGGGGAAAAAAAAAAAAGAGGCTTTTAAAGGGATGTTTTTAAAGTGATGCCTGTTCCAAGGCCAGTAAAAGGCTTTGCTGCTGCACGGCCAGTGGATCTGCTGCCGAGCGGAGTCCGAGATGGGATTTGCAGGAACCAGCGTGGAAACGTCGGCCCCAAATGCTGTCTGGAGGGGTTCCCTGCAATTAAACCCCCCCCCCCAACCCCAAAAAAATCTTCTTTACGTTGTCTGTTGACAGTAATCAGTGCTTAAAGCATGAAGGATGCAGAATCCGACAGTGTCATGGCAGTTTAATGCTATCAACTGAAATACAATTAACAGCCAATTATTTTGGTGTGAACGGTAGTTTTCGTCAATTAGTCCGGGAAATGCTTAAATCGCATTAATTTCATCACTGCCCACTTGCGGCAGATTGGGAAGGTGCTGGAATGAGCCGGCGGTGCCTCCTTCCCCCCGCCCTGGCTGGTCAGGAGTTACAGTGTGCAGACAAAATATACCAATACTTGGAAGGTTGAATTGCAAAAAAAAAAAAAAAAAATTAATTATTCTGTTCTCTGGATTGTGTTTTTTGCGTCATGTTGCGGATGTGTGTGGATCTCCTCGTGCGGGGCGCTGAGCCCCGGTCCCCATGGGAGAGGGCTGATGCTCACTTCGGGCTGCGTACAGCTCCCGCAGGGTTTCGGATAGAGGCACAGACCCAGCCAGCTCGCAGGAAGGCATATGGAAATCCCTGCCGAGCCGTCTGTACGTGGAAGAAAGAGAGGCTGAAATGAGGTTTCTGAATAATTGGCCCTATTTTCCTGGTTATTGGAACTTTTCTGTAATGATCGCGAAGAGCTGCCTGCAAATGGCGCTTTTCGGATCATTTATTTAGGTGCTTAAATGTGGCATAGCAGCGAGGATTTTCCCCCACCACCACCCGTTTTAAAATGAAGGTAAAATTTTCCTCTCAAGCCGAGTCGTTCTCTTAATGTAATTTATGCAAAGAAAACGGGCTTTCTCCGTAGCACCCTCTCGAGCAGGAGGTGCCGGTTAAGACGGGATGGGAGCTTGCAGGAGAGGGATTGCGAGCAGATGCTCGGTGCTGGGGCGAGGGAGCGGCATTGGGGGGATAATGGTGTTGGTGTGGAGTTGGTGGATGAGCGCTGATGGGCTGGGGGGGACGGGGAGCCCAGGGAAATGTCGGAGTGGGATGGAAATGCTGCACGGAATGAGGGTAATTACAGGTGAGGGCAGCGTATGGGATGGCCGCTTCGGTCCAGCCCCAGTGCTCCTGGCAGCAGGTGCTAATAAAAAGCTTGATAGAGCGCAAGAAATTGCGCATGACGTGGTTTCCTAAGGAAACCGAGGAGAGCAGGAGATGTCGTCATCCCCATCGCTTCCCTGAAACGCCAGCTTCTTTCCCAGAAAACCCTTTAAAAACTTGCTGGGAAGAGTGCGGAGGGTTTGACTTGCCTTGAAACCCACTCCTGGCTTCTGCGGCGAAGACATCGGCGGGAGCCCCCGGAGGGAGTTGGGAAGAGAGCAAGGACGGCAGCACTTCGCGATGTAGTGAAGGAGCTGACGGGGCGCGTCTCTTGCTGTTTGAGCCTAGCAAGAGGTGTAGGGTTTTTCCCCTCAAACCTTGGCTGCGTGGATTGGGCTTTGCAATTTTTATACGTATATCTCTCTCTATACAGAAAATGGGTTGTGCTTTGCAATCTATATATTGCAAAATAGATGTATATTGCAAAACTAAACATATGTTACGAAGTGCAATCCATTTTTTTGTGTATATATATCTTAAAATTTTTATGTGCGTGTATATATATGTATATATATAATATATATATATATATATATATATAAATGTATATAAAAACAAGAAGCTCGGATATCTGGCTGATCCTGAGTTCAATAATTCAGGTTTCTCCGTAGGCTTTGACATGCAGCCGGTGGGATGGGGAGCGCGGTGCTGCATGCTCCTTTACAGATTGCACCTATAGCTTCTTATAGACCTTGGATTTTAATCTTTCAGTAGTTTCTGCCGGCATCGGGAGCAGAGTACTAAGTTGGGGATTAAAATGCCTTGCTGCATGCTTCGGAGGAGGAATGCTTTTGAGTTGTTTTTTTTTTTTTCCCCGTTTTCTAACCAGGCCCAGAGGGGAATGGCGTGGTTTCGGGGAAGCTGCGTTGTGCAGCGCTTTATAGGAAGGAGCTTTGTAAGAAACAGCTGCAAATCTGCTTTAGGGCTGTGCCAAAGGACTCCTGCGGGATGTTCTGCTGCAGCATTCCCCCCGGGCTGCCCTTCCTTGGCCTTGCTTCCCCTCTCCCGTCCCTGGAGGGGTCTCTGCCGGGGAGGGGGAATTTTCTGGGGTTCCTATCAAAATGCTGCAATTTTCAGAAAGCCCGTGGGGTCGGTGGCCGTTGCGCAAGCTGCCCTGCCTGGATCCTCTTCTGCAGGTTAATCAGTTGCCAGGGAATAGCCGGCTGCATGTCCCGAGCAAAGCAGCTTGCGATAAAAGGTGCTAATGAATTATCAGTGGGAAAAAATGGGTAATTAGTGGCAACCATGGGTGTTTTGTGGGGCCACGTGGGGCTTTCCATGGCCGGCGAAGGCGCTGGGTGGGTTTTGCACAGTAAATATGACACCAGGCACGAGTCCCTGGCATCCCCCTCCCCGGTTTCCCAAAGGCCGGCGGGGAAGAGCTGCATTTCGGCAGCCCCGGGGAAGGGGAAGGTGACTTTGGCCGCCTCTCGTTCCTGCTTTTTGCACGGATTTCAAGCAAGCGCTGTGGACTGCACCGAAATCCCCAGCCCGGAGCCCGACTGTTCCTCGTTAGTGACTTTATTGCTAAATAATTTACAGAATGGGGCCTTGCCAGTTTTCATACGGGAAGCATTTCAAGTATGCAAACCAGATTTTATGCCTTCCTGGCGCAGCTGCTGGCCGGGCCGGGGGGAGCCACCTCTCCCTGTCCTGCCGCCGGCGTCACCTCCCCGCCTCGCTTCCCAAACGGTGGCGTGCAGGGGGACCTTGGCAAAAATAGGGGAAATCCCCCAATATTTCATGCCCGGCTGGCGTCCCCCAGGCTGGCTGATACATGGTGGCGGTGGGGAAAGGGCCCAACTGCAGGAGCTCGGAGAGGGGGTGTTTATTTTCTATTTCGATGTTATTTTTCCAGTAGCTGTAGCGTGCGTGCTGAGGGGTTTATTTTTTTTCTCCCCATGTTCACGGGTGTGGTGTAAACCCGAGAAATCAATAAGCCCCTTTGGATGAGTAACTGGTTTTCTCTGCGTGTTCTCACTCAAAGGAGGGGGAAAAGCAAAACCAAACTGTTCACACGCTTGCAGAAATCATTTTGGATCACGATATCTGGCTTGGGTAGAGGACTGCAGTGGCAATGCACGTCCAAAAGGTGTTTTGAGGGGAGAGGAGGGCGATGGGTGCAATGTGGAAATAGCAGAAAAGCACTTTATTACGCTAAGGAGCGGGTGCAGCCGTAGGAAACGAGGTCGCTGGAGCTTTTCTCCAGTGCTCGCTGCAGAGGGGACCCCGGCTGGGGCGCGCCGGGACGCTCCCGCGATGCCGCCGCTTTGAGGGGCAGAGCGGTCGCTAGGCGTAAATGTGAAAAATTCAAGATTCAGGTGCCGTGGGTAAAAGTGCTGTCTTCCCCTTTCCAGTCTGAGTGGTTTTGTTAAATTGTGTGGAGTACGCCCTGAATGCGCGGATGGCTGGAGGCAGAGCTGAAGCGCGTCGTATGGGGTGCAGCGGAGCTCGGCAGCCTCTGTTGGACGCTGGCCATATGAGCACCCCATTAGTGAGTGGTTTGGATGGGGAGGTGGTTCTTGGTTTTACTATTATTATAGCTATTATTATTATTATTATTGCTATTACTGCTATTATGTATTAACAGTAAAAATTTTTGATTTTTTTTTTTTAAATGCAAAAACTGGGAACCAGTACCCAGTGGAGGCTCCCCCTTCCCTACCCCGTGCCTCCCCATTGTGTCCCTCCTCCTCCGCTTCCAGTCCTGGGGCACTGCCGGCACCGCTGCAGGTTTTGGGCTGTGCAAAGCAGTTTTGCAAGCAGGGGGATCGCCCCGGCGGCGTTCGCCCGGGGTTTGAGGTTGCAGCGGGGCGCGGGGCAGTGCCGGGAGCCGTCGGTCACTTCCTTGCATTGTGTCTCCTCTTCCTCCAGCGCTGCTGCGGGAGGAGGTGGCCCAGCTGCAGGAGGAGGTTCACCTGCTCCGGCAAATGAAGGAAATGCTGACGAAAGACCTGGAGGAGACGCACGGCAGCAAGTCGCCGGAGGTGCTCTCGGCCACCGAGCTGAAGGTGCAGCTGGCGCAGAAGGAGCAGGAGCTGGCGCGTGCCAAGGAGGCTCTGCAGGGTAAGGGCTGCGCGTCCTTCCTCTCCTGCACCTCTCCCCGGGACCCTCTAGTTTCAAGAAGTTAATTAACAAGGAAAGGAAAAGCTGTGCCTTTTAATGGGACTATGCAGCGTGCGTTCACCACGTACACGTGGCGGGGGGTTTGATCGCAGGGCAGCGCTCCCCGGGGCCCCGCTGCTGTCCTGCCCCAGCAGCGTGGAGCTGGGACGGACCAGGGTGCTGGGAAACGGGGTGCGGGGGGCGTTTGCAGCATTGCAAAGTAATTCCTCCACGGCTAGCTATAGAGTAGAGCCAAGAGAGCAGCTGAAATGCAGCTGGAAACATTTGCGAGGTGGGAGCGGGTTGGATTTGTGCCTCTCGGGCGCTTTTAGGAGGGAAGCAGCAAGTTTCCTGGTGAGTGCGATGTTCCTTATCCTGTGTGCGTTACCGGGAGCGCTGCAGAAGGCAGAGGCTGGGTCTGCAGGTGATGTGCAGGTTCTCCTCTTTTCTTCGTGCATTGATTTAGGTGTTTTCCCACGGTGGTCAGAGCCAGGCTCTCCCTCCCTCGCCGGCGACTACATGGTGAGCTCACCGCGAGCCCGGGGCCTGGGGTGTGCAGGGCAAAACGCAATATTGCAGCTTTTCCTCCCCGAACCGAGCTGGCAGTAAGTCCAGCCAGGACGGTTTGTTAGCAGGAGCCGGGGAGTGATCGTGAGCAGGGGAAAGCTCTCGTGCGTCAAACCTTGGCAGCGCCGCGGCTCTAAATATCATCTCAAATCCCCAGCATACCGCGTCTAACTTCCACTTGTCAGCTCGCGTTCGCGGATTATGAAAAGAAGCTGTCAAAAGTTCTCAGGCTCAGAGGCTGAGCGGCGGGGGGGAGAGCCCCAGCCCATCGCGTCTCCCCCCGTCCGGGATGTGGAGATGCACAGGGAGGGGCAGGGAATTGGGCTGAGTCTGTATTTGGGTGGAGGATTTTGGAAAAAGAGGAGGAAAAACTACCCCAGTCTACGTGCTTTTTATTTTATTGCTCTCTGATTTGCAAAAGCATCCCTATAAATGAGGAACAGCCAAAATATCTTCAAAATCTTGCCCACCTCGCCACCGATGCAGCCTCCGGCAGCAGGAAATGCTCTGGGTTTATAAAACTGTAATTGGAGAAGACAAACCTTAATTAGAGAATATTTGCTCTGCACGGACAGGGAGATGGAAGTGCCGATAAATGCAAAATACAGAAAAGCAGAACTATTGTAAGACTATTTGCAAAAAAAATAGTAAGTCATCTAAGAAGCTGCAGTAAGGTCATACGTGCTTCTGCGGAGGATAGTGCAGAGAAAAAGTGAGTTTGGCCTGAGAATCGTGAGTATTTAAGGAGTATAATATTGGGGTTTTATTGGGCTTTTATTGGCTGCCATACGAGCCGCTGGGATTGGTTTTCCAGGGCTTCTTTGCAGGTGTGATGGCTAGGAAGAGGGAATCTCGGCTTGCACTTGGAAAGGCAAGAAGCCTTTTAAAATCAGTGCTCCTTCCCTCCCGTGCAATATTGGAAAGCTTTTGCGTAATTTGGAAAAGCTGGCTGTGCTGGCTCTGGCCCCGCGAGCTGGGCTGGAGGCGCTGGGCAGCAGAGCAGGCTTAGCACGGCAGCGGATACGGAGACGGGTGATGTGGAAACGGGATCAGCAGCTGGAGGAGGGAAAACAAATCCTTTTTCCTTTCCGCAGAAAATTGTCCATGGAGACACATAGCCAAAAGGGGAGGAAAAATGGCGATAACTGTGCCTGGCGAATGGTTCTGCCAGGAGAGACGTATCAGCTGATAGAGGCGTTTGGGGAAATAATGGCTCTATATTAAGCTTTATGTTAAGGGGGTGCAGGAAAAGGCAGCGCAAGGAGGTCGGGGAAACCGGGCCAGGCC